AAATCCTGACTCTCAAAATAATTGAGTAACATCCAAATTTTCGGATCAAAAAACCGATACAAATACTTCTTAGCGCCTATTTCATAGACTAAATTTTGTTTTAAGTGATCAACAATATCAGGTTCTCGAGTTGGAACACTTTTAAACGTCATTAGAAAAAAAGGTGAAAGCCCCGCTTTGATCTGATTTTGATCATGTTGCTTTATTTCATCGACAAGCGAAGCATCAACTGAATTTAAGCGCAATAAATACGGAAAAACATGCTGTACATTCTTCGCATAATCAGGTGCTAAAGACTTAAGTTGAGCTTCCACATCATAAAAATATTGCGCATTTAGATTCGGGTCAATAATGACGTAATCATACTCAATCACTTCTTTTGGATGTATAGCCGCTAATAACATTATGAAAGCTCCACAGAAGCATCACCTTTTGCCGCAGCACCAGAAACACGCATTTCACAAATAGGAAGCTGAGGAATGTCTGAATTAATCTTCGCACCACTGGTAAACTTCTGTTGCCCCGACTTCACCTGAAACAAACCACCTGTAGTTGAAAATACCCCTGAGCCATTAATCTTTAATTCAGAACCATCCCCTATCAGTCTGATCTCTTTCGGGCTGGTAATATAAACTGCTTCTTCAGTAGAGATAATTTGAATCCCTTTACGTGCAATCACATCTGCACCACCATCTTGAGCTTGAAGTTCAACTTTGCCTTTTCCAGCAAATAACCTTGCCCCTTCCTGTGCCGCAAAAAGACTGATCTTAGCACTGGCATGCCCAATCAAAGCCTTTTGTGTACTTAGGTTGATACTGTCGCCTGCGGTATGACTGATTTGCCCATCTGCTGATAGATGAATATCTTCGTTACTGGCAAGCGCAATCGAATTAGGGGAAGCCAACATCATCACCGCAGACTTAAATGCATTTGCTTTTTTCGGATCTTGTTGGTCTAGTGTATTGATAAACCCTTTTATTCTTTCCAACACCTCCAAAGGATCAGTTTGCTGATTCTTAGCAACTTCACTTAAGGCTTTGGAATTATTTAGACTACTTTCTAACTGACTTTTGGCGGCGGTTGCATCGAGATGGTTACCTGAAGCTGAGTCTTGAGCATAGGTACTCAGCAATAGACCTTGCCCAGCTCGTAACGCTCCCCATTGGTCTGTTCTTAGTTCAAAGCCTTCGCCTCGCCCTTTACTGGTATCAGTTTCTTTAGGATGACTCAGATTACCAAGGTTAAGTTGACTCGTGCCGTGACTGCTTTGTAGCTGGCTGCTAATTTGCTCTGTGGTATCGTCAAATCTAAGCTGGTTGTAGCCACTGCCTTTAACTTCTCGACTTTTGATCCCCGCTAGTTTTTTGGTGTCAGGTAATTGGCCTTTGTCATCAAATTTGGTTGGACTTCGTTGTGCTTCATGGATCCGCCCCACCACAAATGGTCGGTCAATATTGCCATCAAAGAAATCTATCACGACAATCTCGCCGATCCTCGGTAAGAACCGTGCACCATAGCCTTCACCTGCCCACGGGGTCAGTACATCCACCCAAGCGGAATCGGTGTCGTTGTCATTGCTCCCTGCTCCACCATCATGACTGTGATCTTCATTGCGGGTAAACAGGAAGCGAACTTTAATACGTCCCCATTCATCGACATGAATTTCTTCTCCACTTGGTCCAACTACTTTGGCTCGTTGTGGATGGGTACTAGGACGATGTTGTAGTGGGTGGTATTCAGGAACAGTGGTGATATTACGACGTTGTAGTACCAATTGATTGGCTTGGCGTTCTGGGTTGTTTGAGTCTACATTTGAATTGACCCAATTGCTCTGTTGGAGCAAGTGATTGATTTGCTCGCTCAGATCTTTGGGTAAGTTGTTTTGGTTATAGAATGTCTTTGACGTGATCAGAAACTCTTTGTCTGAGCCACTGTGTTGATCTATTTCTGGGTGTTCGTTTAACTCAAACCAGTAACCTACTTGTGCATCACGTACAGTGGAGTTGGCTATAAATTGCTTGGATTGAGCATCGTAATAATGACTGAGGTTTTGGTTAATCTTTTCAATCTGATTGTTATTTGACGCGGTTGCTTGATCTTCACCACTTAGGTCTTGAATCCATGCTGGACTGATATGCCAAGCTTGTTCTAAACCGAGGCTGGCATTGTTTTGGTTTTGACTGTGTTGATGTTTGCTTTGAACACTGCCTGCACCCTCTTCTTGTTCTAACACATCTGCTTGCCAGCGTTGTACGTGGACAGCAGTGGGTTGTAAGCTACGTTGCCCAATAAAGCTGGTGATGCTGTCTTGTTGTTCGGTGGCACTGCTACGATGGAAGCGGATCTTTCTTCGTTCTAGCGCTTTGTATTCGCTGTTATCATCCACCAAACGCAGTTTTTGTGGCTGAATTTGAGTCGCAGAACTAGGCACAATCAATTGCGCTTCATCAATCAACCAGTTGATCCCTTCACTGCGCATCAAGCGGGTTAAAAATGCATAGTCGCTTTCGTTACTCTGCATGATGAATGGGCGGATATCGTAATCTTTTTTCAGTCCACTTTTATCCAAGCTTAGACTGGAGGCAAAGAGTGGGCTTTTGTCTTGCCATTCTTTAAACAGCGTTTCTATGACTTGAACAACCGACTTATTCATAAACACTCGGCTGTTACGGCGTTTATGCCACAGTGAAGTGGCATCTTCGAGTTTGAGTTTATATAGCGTGAGTGCGCCATCACTCTGCCCTTGTGCGGCTTCAGTAATCACTCCTGTGCTACGAAACAGTTGCCCATGATCTGTGACTTGATCAATGGCCACTTGGCTACCGATGAATTGTTTAAGGGGAATCACAGCTGAAGTGGCAAGGCAAATCAGTTCAATAGACACACCTTGGTTTAGACCATGTTGTCCATCGATACGTTGTAAGAAGACTTGAGCAGTCAAATCAGGATTGCTAAATTGGATATGCAAGGCTCGTTTTTGCGCAGTCAATCCAAGGTGTTGCAGAGCCGAAAATATATTGGCAAAATTCATTTTCTTATCAAACTTAAAATAATATTAATATTTATGAATATTTAATCAAAAAAAACGATTGAATCCTAGTTTATTGATCGGTTAATTTTTTAAAATTTGTAAAAAAATCTCAACATTAAATGCTTAATGTTGAGATTTATATTTTTAATTCAAATTGTTATATAGACTAAATGCTATTCGCTGTCCATCATTGACTGGCTCATACCGACCGTATTAAAACCAGCATCAACATATAGAATTTCACCAGTGATCCCATTTGCCCAAGGTGAGCATAGGAATAAGGCTGCGTTACCAACATCTTCAATCGTAACATTACGTTTTAACGGTGCAATTTTTTCATTGGCATCTAACATTTTACGGAAAGATTTAATCCCAGATGCCGCTAAAGTACGGATTGGACCTGCTGAAATTGCATTTACACGGATACCCTCAGCACCTAAGCTTGATGCTAAATAACGTACACCTGCTTCCAAAGATGCTTTCGCCATACCCATAACATTATAGTTTGGCATAACAGACTCTGAACCTTGGTAAGTTAAAGTCAATAAACAGCCTTGGCGAGCCAACAATAAAGGTTTTGCTGCGCGTGCCATAGCAACAAAACTATAAGCGCTGATGTCATGGGCAATTTTAAAACCTTCACGATCTGTGACGTCCGTGAAATCACCATCAAGTGTATGCGCAGGTGCAAAGCCGATTGAATGTACAACACCATCCAAACCATCCCAATGCTTCGCTAATTCAGTAAATGCATGGTCAATTTCAGCATCCACAGCAACATCACAAGGGAAAACTAAAGTAGAACCGAATTGTTCTGCAAAATCATCTACACGTTTTTTTAGTTTATCGTTTGGATAAGTAAATGCGAGTTCTGCACCTTCACGATGTAATGCCTGAGCAATACCAAATGCAATGGATAATTTACTTGCAATACCCGCGATTAAAAAGCGTTTACCTGCCAATAGTCCTTGTGCCATGAAATTCTCACCTGATCAATTTTGTAAGCATAATGCCAAGTCTTGACCCATAACTAAATTGCATAATGCATCTTTTTTTAAAAGTTTACTAAAAACATAAAAAAAGCGCACTGAATCGAGTGCGCCTTTTCAAATCTATCAATCGATATAAAGGGAATGATTAATCATCACCTTGCAACAAGCTCAATAAACGTAAGAATGAATAGTACATCCATACCAATGTTGCCAATAAAGCGATACCACATAACCATTCATAAGCTTTCGGTGCACGTTGTGCAGCAGCAGATTCAATCAAATCGAAATCAAGAATCAAGTTCAATGATGCGATCACCGCAACAAATGCAGCAAAACCAATACCTAAAATGCTGCTTTCAAATAAGAATGGAATGCTTGAACCAAAAGCCAAACGCATAATGAACTGCACCACAAAAACCAATGCAATTGCGATAGATGCTGAAATCACAATAGATTTAAATTTTTCAGTTGCACGAATAATTTGGAATTTATATAAACCAAACATCACTAAAGTTGTGATAAATGTAGCTAAAAGTGCTTGTAATGGTACGCCCGGAAACTTCAGTTGGAAGATCACTGAAACACCACCCAAAAATGCACCTTCAAAGAACGCATAAGGAATAGCTAAAACACGTGCCGTATTCGGCTTAAATGTAGCAACCAATCCAAGAATCAAACCACCAATTGCACCGACCATTGCGGCAGCATAGGCAATTCCAACATTCATTGTGGTAAAGCTATAGAAAAAAATTCCAACACCGAGTATGGCCGCAATAACAGTCAATAAAACTGATTTTTGAATTGCGCCTTGTACAGTCATTGGCTGTTCATAATCTGCATACGTTTCCGCACGCGTTAAAATTGGGTTATTACTTTGCATAGTCAATCTCTTTGTAATAATTCAAATATATATAAGGATATTAAAACGTTTTTTATGCAAACAATTTGAACTGCTTGCTATTTTTTGTAACGAGTTGTCAGAGGACATCAGCTTTAGTATAGCTTAAAAAACCAAAATGCATAGCAAAAAAAGAGGCTAAAAAGCCTCTTCTTTCAATCTGATATGTAATGAGATTTAACCACTCAAATGATTAATCTTGATTGGCAATAAAGAAATACTGACGATAATATTTAAGTTCAGCAATCGAATCGCGGATATCATCCATTGCCAAATGTGAAGCATTTTTCTTTAGACCGCTCATAATTTCAGGTCTCCAGCGTTTTGCTAACTCTTTCACTGAAGACACGTCCAAATTACGATAATGGAAGAATTGTTCAAGCTCAGGCATTAAACGGTGCATAAAACGGCGATCTTGGCAGATTGAATTACCACACATTGGCGAAGTTTTAGGATTAATCCATTTCTTCAAAAATTCTAACGTTTGCTGCTCTGCATCTTGCGCTGTGAGTTTACTACGACGTACCCGTTCAATCAGACCTGACTGACCGTGTTGTTTGGTGTTCCACTCATCCATTGCATTAAGGATAACATCTGATTGATGCACTGCAAGCACAGGCCCTTCCGCCAAAATGTTCAAATGATCATCTGTTACAATTGTCGCAATTTCAATGATCTTGTCATTATCTGTATCTAAACCTGTCATCTCTAGGTCGATCCAAATTAAGCGGGTATCCGGAGTGCTGCTCATATAGTGCAATCTTATTAGGCCAATAAAAAATGAATAGTAGCAAATTTCTTGCATCTTCGCTGTAATTCATTCGCCTGTCATGGTATTTTTGCCTTCTCATTTTTAAGGTTTTTAGGATATGAATGGCTTTAATTCGTAAACGTCGTTTAACTGAACAGCAGCAACGCCGCATTCAGAAACAACATAAAACACGTCAAGAAGAAATCGACACTTCCAATGACCTTGAAGGTCTTGTTGTTCAGCATTATGGACGACAACTCGAAGTACAAGCCCTTTCTGTTCCTACTCAACATCCGCAAAAACCCATCGTCAATGAAGGTGATCCAGAGCCCTTTTGGAAACCGATTGAATTAGGCAGTGTCTGGCGCTGTCATACACGAACCAATTTAGAGCTGTTAGTGACAGGCGATAAAGTTCAGTGGCAAGCAGATCCAAATACAGGTTTAGGTATCATCACTGCCATTCACCCAAGGACCTCGTTGTTAACGCGTCCCGATCGTTATCATAAAGTTAAACCTGTCGCAGCCAATATCAGTTTAATCGTCATTGTCTTTGCAACACTGCCTGAGCCAGCACCCACGCTGATTGATCGCTATTTGGTGGCATGTGCAGATGCGGATATTCCAGTCCTTTTGGTGTTAAACAAATCAGATTTACTCAAAGAAAATGATCCTATTTTAGATCTCATTAAAGAATATCAAGACTTGGGCTATGAAGTACTGATCACTCAGTCTGAAGGTGATATTAGCGAATTAAAGCAACGACTCGACAACGAAACTGTTGCTTTCGTTGGGCAATCAGGTGTCGGCAAAAGTACCTTGATTAATGTCATCGTTCCTGATGCAGAACAAAAGACCAATATTATTTCTGAAAACTCAGCACTCGGACAACATACAACCACCTCTACCCGTTTGATTCGTTTTGGTGAAAATGGTGCTTTGATCGACTCGCCCGGCATCCGTGAATTTGGGCTTTGGCATTTGAGCCTAGAAAAGATTGATGCAGGCTTTCCTGAAATCTCTAACTTGATTGGACATTGCCAATATCGTAATTGCACCCACACACATGAGAAACAGTGCGCAATTAAAAAAGCGGTAGAAAATGGTGAAATTCTAGCCAGACGACATGAAAGTTATTTACGTTTAATTGAAGAAATCACTGATGCGCAACAAAAAAATTAAATTTCTTCTTTGAGAACCTTGAAGCGGTGATTTTGATCACCATATATATACGCTATACTCGACGCAATTTTTGATTGTAATTAGGTGACTTGTGGAACGTTGGTTTGAGTTTATGGGGAATCACCCCTTCTTATTTGGTATTTTAGGGGTACTGGCGATCTTGTTCTTTATTTTTGAAGGACAACGCAGTGGTCGTAAGATTTCACCACAATCACTTGGTATTTTAGTGAAGGCTAAAAATGCGATGTTGATTGATTTACGCGATGCTAAAGATTTCCGTGAAGGTCATGTGAGTGGCAGCCGCAACATTCCATACAGTCAAATTGCCAGTCACATTGAAGAGTTAAAAACTGCTGACCGTCCTTTAGTATTTATCTGTAACTTAGGTCAAGTTGCAGGAAGTGCTTTACAACAAGTCGGCCATGCAGACAGCTATCGTCTTGATGGTGGTATCAGTAACTGGAAAGCCCAAGGCTTGCCATTAGTTAAAGCTAAAAAATAAGCTTAAGGAGCTCAACATGACTGCTGAAGTAAAAGTATATTCAACAACTTTTTGCCCATACTGTGTACGTGCGAAATCTCTACTTGAGCGTAAAGGTGTTGCTTTTACCGAAATCAATCTCGATGAAGAAGCACCTGAAGTTAAGACTGAGCTGATCCAGAAAACTCGACACCGTACAGTGCCACAAATTTTTATTAATAATGAATTTATCGGTGGTTTTGACCAGCTTTATGCTTTAGAAAAAGCCGGCAAACTCGATGAGTTACTTGGTTAATCCACAACTTAATTAATGAATCACTTCTTAAAATTTAAGGAATAAAGAATGAGTGAAGAACAACAAGCTCAACCACAACTTGCTTTAGAACGTATTTATACAAAAGACATTTCTTTTGAAGTACCTGGGGCTCAAGTTTTTACCAAAGAATGGCAACCTGAATTAAACATCAACTTGTCTTCTGCTGCTGAAAAAGTGGATGCAACCCACTTTGAAGTGTCTTTAAAAGTTGTTGTTCAAGCGAACAATGCAGGCGATACAGCATTTATCGTCGATGTAACACAATCAGGTATTTTCTTGATTGATGGTATTGAAGAAGACCGTCTTCCATACATCTTAGGTGCTTACTGCCCGAACATTTTGTTCCCATTCTTGCGTGAAGCAGTTAATGATCTTGTAACGAAAGGTAGCTTCCCTCAATTACTTCTTACACCAATCAATTTTGATGCAGAGTTTGAAGCAAATATGGAACGTGCCCAAGGCGCTGCTGCTGAAGGCCAAGCTTAATTTCTCAATAATTAAGTTTAAAAGACCGCACTATGCGGTCTTTTTTATATTTGATCAGATAAAAATCACCCAAACTTCACAACCGTGGGTGATGCAATTTTTTATAATTTAAACGTCACAAATAACAATGCCATTTACTCCCTTACATTTGGGCTTAGGCGCAAGCTGTAAAGCCATTGTAAATAAAAAATTTAGCTTGTTAATTTTCTCTGGTGTTCAGGTTTTGATGGATATAGAACCTCTAATTGGCATCATTCGAGGCTGGACCACCCTCCATTTATATACCCATAATTTACTTGGTGCTTTGTTGATTGCTTTGCTTGCAGTCCCCATAGGTAAAGTGATGAGTGAGTTTTGCTTACGCAACTTATTCAAACAAGCAAACTGGCAGATCACATGGCAAGTGGCGACAGTCAGTGCTTTGGTCGGGAGTTTTAGTCATGTTTTTTTAGATGCGTTGATGCATGCAGATATGTATCCCTTTTATCCGCTGAGTTATTCTCAAGTTTTACTCAACATGATTCCCTACAGTTTTATTTTTTATGGAAGTTTAGGGTCTGTTGACATTTCATAAATGGCTTGCGTTGTAGGCTAAAATTGAGCAGGCAAGGCAGGAAACGAAGAGAATAGCGAGACTATTTTCGAGTTTCATAACGTAGGCTGAGATAATTTTAGCCACAACCCTTCGGGACTAGTGTGTTTTTTGCCGCTACTTCGTTACGAACTACTCATTTAGAATGACTAAATTTCGTATTTCGTGCCTAGTATCGTCTAAAAACACACGTAGTCGCAAACATAGACGAATTGTCAACAGACCCTGGCTTTATTTTTGCAGGAATTGTTTGGCTTATCCGTGAGGAAAAATCATGATTCATCGATTGTTCTAAAGGTTAGATTAATCCGAGCCGTATGCACTTTCTTTGTTGGGGCTAAGCGGTGCAACCAATATGTTTGTGTGGTGTCTTTCATGACCAGCAAACTGCCATTTTCGAGAAAAACCTCAATCTTTTCTTGGCTATTTTTATGTTTAAAGGCAAATTTTCGAACTGCGCCTAGGCTTAAAGATGCAATTGCACCATTCTTTTTTAGATCTGTTTCACCATCACTGTGCCATGCCATACCCTCTTCACCTGTATGGTAAAGATTCAGTAAACAAGAATTAAATGTTTCACCCGTGATCATTTCAATCTGTTGTTTCAGTTCGAGTAATTCTTCAGTCCATGGCAAGGCATATTTGGAGCTATTTGAATAAGTGTATTCAAAAGCGCGATCTCCATACCAAGCCACTTTCCGTTTAGTGATAATCTTTTTGCCAAAAATAATCGCTTGGTCATTTTGCCATTCAATATGCGTTAGCAATTGCTCAAAATAATCATTGGCGATGGCTTCATCCATGATTTTTCCGAAATAATTCACTGTTCCATCTTGTGGAAGCAAGTTCTCATGGTGATCGGTTAGAAACTCAAGTTGTTGCATTTTTCCATTTCACATAGGCTGATTTCATACAATGTCCACACGGGCGAAATTGCAATGCCAAGGCTTCAGCTTCACAACTAAAGAACACCCGATTGGCTTTTAACATACGCTTGCCCGAACCACAGTTTAAACGTCCATAAATTTTTAGCTTTTGATTGCCTGCAAATAAAATTTCAGCATTCCTGATTTTTCGATATAACGCTAAACGCTCAATGTCATCATGCTTAATCATCATTTAACTCACAGCATCATGAAAAATAATCCCCAATGTATAACGCTCCCCTGTACGCACCTGACTGACAGCATGCTTCATATTGACTCGATAATAGCCATGAGTGCTTTTCTTGGGTCTAAACTGCGTGGTAAAAATTAACACATCCCCTTGATCAGGTTGTAAAACAATGGCTTTTGACTGTGCTCGTGGTACTTGCTCAGTCAACACCAACTCACCACCGGTAAAATCGCTATTGGCTTGACTAAGAACAAATACCATTTGGATCGGAAAATAGACCTCGCCATATAGATCTTGATGTAAGGTATTAAAACCATCTTGCTGATAGTGCAAAATCAAAACAGTGGCCTTATTTTGACCCACTTGTTGGCATTGTTGTAAAAATTCAAGATGTGAATCTGGATATTGTCGATCCAACTTTAAAGCATCAGACCAAGCATTGGCGATAGGAACCAGATACGGATAAAACTGAGTTCGAAGCTGTTGAAGCAAGTTTGGTAGTGGATAATTAAAATATTTATACTCGCCATATCCAAAACGATGTTGCTGCATAGTGACGGTTTTTCGATACAGTTGTTGATGGTTATAATGACTTTTGATCAACTCACACAATTCATCAGATAAAAAGTCTTTAAGGATTGAGTAGCCTTGTGTATGCATCTGAGCATGGATTGACTCCCAAACTAAACCCTCAATTTTATTGAGCAACGCTGTTGCTTGTTGTGAATTAAACGCTGGCATGTACTTGCACACCTTCCCAGCCAATCATTGCGGCTTTACGTGTTTTACCCCAATGATATTCACCTAAAACACCTGTCGCTTGAATCACACGATGACATGGAATTAAAAAAGCCACTGGATTATTGCCAATCGCAGTACCGACTGCACGGGAAGCTTTTGGATTTCCAATCTGTTCTGCAAGGTCTGCATAGGTCGCCAATTGTCCCATCGGGATTTTAAGCAAACTTTCCCAAACTTTAAGCTGAAAATCAGTACCTTTTAGATGCAGCTTAATTTGGCTCCATGGTTTTTGTTCAGATGAGAAAATGGCCAAAGCATGTTCATGCAAGGCATCTGCTTGCTGATAAAATCTTGCTTTAGGAAATTTTTCAACGAGTGCGCTATAGGCATCTTGCGCATGCTCCACAAAAGACATAAAGCAAATCCCTTTGGCTGTTGAAGCCACTAAAACCATTCCAAAGCGTGTTTCAGCATACTGGTAGTGGATGGTTAAGTTTTCCCCACCACTTTTGTATTCAGCAGGTGTCATCCCTTCAATTTGTATAAATAGATCATGCAAACGACTGGTGCTCGATAGTCCTGTGTCATAAGTCGCATCAAATACCGAATGCTCTTGTTTTAACAAGTTTTTTGCATGTTCAATACTAATATATTGCAAGAACTTCTTCGGACTGGTTCCAGCCCATTCTGTAAATAAACGTTGAAAATGTGCAGGGCTTAAATGAATATGCGCAGCCACCTCATCTAAATTCGGTTGTGCTTTAAAATTGTGTTTAATGTATTCAATGGCTTTTGCAATACGTTCAAACTGATGGTGCTGTTGCATCGCATTTCTCCTCACTTTTCTCCATCTAACTTAACAGTTGTTATGCAATGAGCAAATCCGAATCATGCTGAGTTTAGTGATTCAATATCGTTTAAAAATCTCCTCACAATAAAAAACCGTTAGTCATTAAAACTAACGGTTTTGTGCTTTCAAATGAATCGATTACTGATAGATCTTATGCCCTTGATCACGTATTTCAGCAATTTTCTTGCCTTCCATTTTGGCATGATCTAAATGACCGCCTTTGACTAGCGCTTGAGTCTTATCAATTTGCGCAATCAATTGATCATATAACTGAGTCGAAGTCGGAGCACTGGCATCACCACGACCTTTAAGTTTGACTTTTTTAGCGTCGATTGCAGCAGCACGCATATTATCTAAAGCTTTATTTGCTTCAGCGGCATTATTGGTTTGATTAAATGCTTTATAGTTTTTACCTAATGCCTGCATATTTTGTTGTAGCGTCGCAGCAAAAGTCATTGAGCTGAAACCTAAAGCAGAAATCATCATGACGGTGGCTAAAGTTTTTTTGATCATTATGATCTTCCTTAAAACTGTGGCTATTGTTGGGTGTAAAAAAGCCCATTGTGGCTATTGTCCATTTCCAAGATTAAACATAGTTTAAAAGCACAAAAAATAGCAAATAAAAATGCAACGAATTCGTTGCATTTTTATATTCAGAAATAATCAGAGAAAGGCTTAAATTGGTTCAATCTCATGGTGTAAGGCATCGTGGATCGCTTCAACCAATTGTTGTGCAATCTCTTGTTTCGAGGCTTTCTCTAAATCACGCTTTTCCATCTGATACTGTTCTGCAAAAAACACGGTCATCGCATTTTGATCAGAAGCAAAACCAATATCAGCACGCGAGACATCATTGCAGGCAATCATATCGAGTTTTTTTGCAACCAGTTTTCCTGCTGCATATTCCTCTACATTACGGGTTTCAGCCGCAAAACCCACCATAAATGGGCGCTTTGACTGCTGTGCAATGGTCGCCACAATATCAGGGTTTTTCACCAACGAAACATTCAGCTCATCACCCGCTTTCTTAATCTTATGTTCCGCAACTTCTGCCACACGATAGTCAGCGACAGCCGCAGTTGCAATAAACACGTCACAGCCTTCCTCAAGCTGATGCATGCTTTCATCAAGCATTTTTATTGCAGAAGAAACATTGATACGACGCACGCCATTCGGAGTATCCAAACTGACTGGACCAGCCAATAGTGTCACTTTTGCCCCTGCTGAATAACAGGCTGCCGCAATAGCAAAGCCCATTTTCCCTGTACTGTGATTGGAAATATAACGTACAGGATCAATCGCTTCACGTGTTGGTCCCGCAGTAATCACCACACGTTTTCCAGCAAGCAAGCCAAACTTCTCAGCAATCGCACGTTGTGCTTGATGGAAGTAATTTTTAACTTGTTCGGCTAAATCTTCAGGTTCAGGCATACGCCCTAAACCGACATCACCACAAGCTTGCGAACCTGCTTCAGGCATAATCACATGTACGCCATCTTCAACTAAGGTATTCAGATTACGTTGTGTCGGCTTAGCTGCCCACATTTGCTGATTCATCGCAGGCGCAACCCAAACAGGTGCTTTGGTTGCCAAATACAAAGTACTGAGCAAGTCGTCAGCCAAACCCGCGGCGAACTTTGCGATGGTGTCACAACTTGCAGGTGCAACTAAAATCAAATCGGCCCAACGCGCCAATTCAATATGCCCCATTCCCGCTTCTGCTTCAGGGTCTAATAACTCAGTATGAACAGGATTGCCGGATAAGGCCTGAAAAGTTAAAGGGGTAATAAATGCCTGTGCACCTTTGGTCATTACCACGCGTACATTAAAGCCATAATCCTTTAAACGACGTACCAGGATTGCACTTTTATAGGCGGCAATACCGCCTGTTACAGCGAGGATAATATTTTTATTAGAAAATACACTGAGATCAAAACTCACTATCAGGCTACCTTTCAGTTGCAGTGGCGCTCACAATATCATTAAATAGTCTATCTCCCAAGTCATTCAAGGGAGAAAAATCAGAAGTAAAATAATTTTAAAATGTGAAAAATAATGAATCATTCAATCAAACAATGGCCTGAACAAGAACGTCCACGTGAAAGATTACTCTTACAAGGGGCGCACAGCTTATCTGATGCAGAATTACTTGCGATTTTTCTACGTTCAGGCTCAAAACAACACTCCGCTGTTGAATTAGCACGCTTGCTCATTCAACATTTTGGTCATTTAAATGCTGTATTTGATTCGTCTTTAGACGATTTAAAACAATTTCATGGCATTGGTGAAAGCAAGTATTCACAACTGATGGCGGTGAAAGAACTGGGGCGACGTTACTTGAAACATCAACTGAATCAAGGTTTAGACTTGAGTCGTTCTGATTTAATCCGAGATTATTTACGTTATGAATTGATCGGAGAATCTCAAGAAGTCTTTGCTGTACTGTGTTTAGACAGCCAGTTACGTAAATTAAGTTTTAAAAAACTATTTTATGGTTCAGTCAATTACTGCAATATTTCCATCAATCAATTATTACGATATGTCATACAAAAACATGCGACTTTTATCGTTATTGCCCATAATCACCCTAAAGGTTTTGCCAAGCCTTCACGTGAAGATTACGATTTAACTCAAGAAATATTAAAAGCCTGTCAACTGCTTGAAATAGAATTATTGGATCATATGATCATTGCTGCTGAGCAAAGCTACTCCTTTGCTGAACACGGACTCATCAAACCCAAAACTTTCCCTACAAATGTGATTGACAAGCACCTTTGAAGCGGTGAAGATCACTAAAAAATATAGATTTAAAAGTATGATTGTCCGCGATCAAAACGATACCCTTAAAATATTACTCTCTTGGCGTGGTACGATTTTACCCAAAGTGCTGCCACCGCTTGGTTTTGTGATGCTGATTTCTGCAATTGTGGGTGGCATTGAGTATACCAATTTATATCGTTTTCCTGAATTACCCTTGGTTGGCTTTACCCTGATTGGTGTGGTGCTTTCTATTTTTCTAGGCTTTAAAAATACCGCCTGTTATGACCGTTGGTGGGAAGCGCGTAAACTTTGGGGAATGCTGATCGCCAATGCACGTCACTTTGACCGTGATTGTCGTATATTCCCTCAAGGGCGTCGTGAACGGATCATTCAACATGTGATTGTATTTGCAAACTTATTAAGAGATCGTCTGAGGCATCAAACAGCAAATCCAGATGCGCTGGTGGAAACCAGTGGTATGAGTCAACAGGCACTGACACAGTTGTATCAACAAACCAATGCGCCGCAATACACGCTGAGTTTGATCCAATGGGAATTGATGCAAGCGCTCAAAGAAGGCGAAATTTCCGACATTATCTATACCCAATTAAATGAACATGTAAATGAGCTCAGTTTGGTACAAACCGGTTGTGACCGTATTGCAACCACACCTTTGCCTTTTGCTTATTCAGTTTTATTAAATCGTACGGTCTATTTTTTCTGCTTTATGCTGCCCTTTAGCTTAGGTTCATTACTGGGTTTAGCAACACCTTTGCTGGTGGGTATTTTAGCCTATACTTTTCTGGGGCTAGATGCTTTAAGTACCGAGATAGAAGAACCTTTTGGTACGCAAAGTAATGATTTACCTTTAGATTCAATGGTAAGAATGATTGAAATTGAATTATTGGGAACTCTAGGGAAACCGACTCCTCCACCGATTCAAGCCCATGATCACAATTTACTTTAATACATCAGTTTCTGATTTTATTGCCCTTTTTAAAGAGAAGTTAAAGTAAAGGCCGAGCACTGAAAATGAAATATGTGGTTATCTTTAAGGCACAGATCAATACGCTTGATCAACAGTATTTTCAAACTGCACAACTTTTACGAGAGAAAGCATTGAGCCAGTTTAACTGTCAAAAATTTGAGTCTCTTTGTGAAAATGATTTTGAAGTTGCGCTTTCTTATTGGAATACACTTGAAGATATCCAGGCTTGGCATAAAGATGCAGAACATCAGGCAGCTCAACGAATTGGTAAACAACAGTGGTATAAAAAATTTAGTGTTGAGATTTGCCAAATTCAAAAAAGCTATTAGCACTAGATCACTTAAAAATCGGTCTATTTATGAAGGTAGATACTAAAAAATAGAATCAAGATAATCCCATTACATCTTGTTCAGTTTCTAGCGCACTTCAAATTCAGATTCAGCTGGATCAAAACGCCAAGTACGCACGATCCGCAGTTCAGAAATATCTTTCATTTTTGAATCAAAACGTCCAAAAGGTGCACCTTTACGCACTGAGTTTTTGGCAGCTTCATCGAGGATTGAATGACCTGAGCTTTCAATCAATCGTATAGCACGAATCCCACCCTCATTATTGAGAATGACCATTAAACGGACCTCACCCGAAAGACGCTGCTGTTTGGCAAGATCTGGGTAATATCGGTTTCCATACATCTCAACTTTTTCACGAAATTTATCTAAATATCCAGCAGATGCATCTTGTTTGGCTTGAATACCATCTAAGGTTTTAATTTTTTGTTGTTTACTAAAATTTTGTTGTTTCTGTAAATATTGAGCTTCTAGACTCGCCACCATTGCCGTTTTAGCTTGCATCTGGCTCTGCAACTCTTCCATGGCCTTTTTGCGATCGTTCTGTTCCGCCTGCTTTTGCCAGCTAAGAACCGTCATTAATACTTTTTCTTCGAATTTCAATTCTCGTTTTTGCTGTATTTGCTCTAAAGCTTCGAGTTGCTGATCACCCGCACTCTTGTCTTCTGCTTGCGCTGGCATATCACTTGAAATACGATGCTCTTTACGGAATGTTCCAGAACCTTGCTGATTTGCTTGCGCTAAAAAGTCTGCATCTTTAATTTCATCTTCACTTGGGCGAATACTGATTGCGATTTCTTTTGTGCTGGTATTATTTTCTTGTGGCATTCCAAATTGAACAGATAAAAAAAGTACATGTGCAATGACAGCTGCAGAAACAGCTCCAACAAATAATGCGTCTTGCCACCAGTACTCAGAATGCTGTGTATTGGCAAATAATTTTTTTATCATGACATTAATCCGACAAAATTCCCCAATCGCCAAATTTAAAATTTATTAAAATAAGTTTAACTTTACATTATTCACAAACTTTGTGACTTATTTAGTAAAAGTAAAAACGTAATTTTAAAACACTCAAAATGGTGCAATGTTTTTTGTTAAACTGCAATCGTTAGACTTGTATTTTTTTAATAATCGACAAGTTTATCGCCTTAAAAAATGATGATGATTTGGGACAATACTTATGCCGACGCTACTTTCTAACATTGTTAAACGTATTCGAC